GGTCAAGAATGAAACTTCCATCCTGACATTCAAGAAAAGTACTGAAGATATGAGTACTCAAGCTAAAAGCATAGTCGAACGACATCCACTAATATGGTACTTTTCTTTGTCATTGCGTATATATATGCCAAATCTGTACAGCAAGTTTTGTTTTGTTAATTTTTTTTAGTACTGTAGCATGTTTTTGGCAAATGTTATTTGTGTTTATATAGGTCAAATCTGTAGCAAGTATGTAGCAAGGACAGGAGATAAGAGTAGTCAAGCATTTACTTCATTCTCCCTAGCATTTTTTTTTTTTTTTTGAGCCAAATGACCTTTAAAAAATTAAAAAATTGTCTTATTTGATTTTAAGATGATCCCAAGGAGGGCCACCTCTAAAGTTCTTCTGCACTGCATCAACTTTAGAGGTAACTCTGTGGTCAGGGTTTTTCATTTTTATGTCGGCTTACCTGATAATTCGATTGGCATAACTCAAGAAAAGAGAAATTGTGTGATGGAAAGCAATGAAGTGTTGCGTGAATAACATGGATTCTTAAATTTGCCTAGCTAATAAACTTTTATCCTCAAACAGGTGAAGTGTTCAAATTTGTTAAGTATTCATGAATGGGTCCTTTTTCTCCATTTTGTCATGCACAAGTTTAGAAAACTTTAAAAGTGTGGGCATTTTGGTCAAGGAATCAGAATCTAAAAATACTGCAACTTCCATAAAAGGAAAAAAGCAAAAGAACCGAATAAACATAAGCGTGTTGCTTTTTTTTTTTTTTTTTTTTTTTTTCTTTTTTTCCTTTTGAAGGTTTTTCTCTTAAAAAAAAAAAAAAGGAAAAACTAAATGCATTGGTACTTGATCGTTAATGAAAATTCAGGAAGTAACTTTTTGCTCATAATTCAGGAAGTAACTTGAATAATAATTAATGTTACAACTTACACCTTCTCCGCCATCAATAGATTCCGTCTCGCGGCTTTTTAGAGCTAATTAAATATAATATCTGTATAACTAGGATTTTTTTTTTTTTTTTCGGTTTTGTTTTAATCTGGCCATCTTTTTGATTCTTTAAAATAAGGAAGGTCCGTATAAGTTATTGTTCGTGTTAAACATGTGCTGAAAGTTCAACAAGTGATTAGATTTCGTTAATTTATAGTTAATTGTAGTTACAAGTATAATTTAACAGTAATCGGTAATCTCTTGACATAATTTGTTCTTTTCTTTTGAAGAAGTATAACATATAATTTTCTGGCTAGTGCTCTACATTCATACAAACATTATGGTCTTATCTTGATTGTCTAGATGACGTGTTTAATATACGCATAGTTAACGGTAATTTTACATTTAATTTTTGTATAAAGAATGTCTGTATAAGTTATTGTTTAGTGTTAAACATATACTAAAAGTTCGACGAGTGATCTAATTTCGTTACTTTATAGTTAATTGTAGTTACAAATATAATTT